CTTTTGCTGTCCCCTGGGAGCTTCAAAACCTAATGCTAAGCCGGGGTCATACGCCAGAAGCCTAACCTAGGAGGATTGGTGGAGCTATGGCGGCACCTCGCGGTAGTTCTTGGGGGGGGGGGGTTAGCATATATATATATATATACAATATATATTCAATTGTATGTGGCACATGAACGCAGAACAAAAGGTGTCTCCACGCCAAAGCCTCTCTAAAGAGGCGCTAAGTTCAAACTGCAGCAAAGCTCGAAGTCTCTAAGCCGTCAACCCTTAAACCCTCCAGGCCCAATACTTGGCGGACTTGCTTGGCTCATTTTTTGCACGAGCTCATGGCTTGAGACGCTGTGCTTTGGGTGCGCGATTCGCGTCAGCTCGGCTGACGTGGCCACCGTAAGCTTGGGGCGCCTGGGTTGCCGCCCGCAACTCCTAAGAAGCTTTTTTCTAGGACTCTAGGAAGCTCAACCAGAGATGAAATAACGCAACCTAGCTGAACTTCACAAAGCAGACGAACTCCATGCATCACAATGGTACCTGTGAGTCCTGGTGGCATCTGGAGACCCTGCGGCTGGCACTCCCAGCGTTGCGAAGAACTGCATGAGGGAATCACACAGTGATCCCTCAAGCCTCCCAACTTTGGAGGCTGAGATGTCTTTTTTCTCTGCCAGGCTCTCACTTTCACGGTTTCAAGGCCTTCAGGACGCGACCGGCTTGGCCTCACGACTCGAGGGCTTCTCCAGTCTCAAGGCTCTTGGTCGAGCCTCGAAAAGCCGCGAGAAGTAGAAGTTGGTGGCTGTCATGTCCTTGCGGGTGACCTGGGCCATATGTGCGTCACCGTTGATGCGCATGCCGGGTGACGATCATGGTCTTTTCAACCGATTTAGGCACAGCGAGGTGAGATGCCACCGCGTGCTCAACCACTATAAGCCATCGGCCTGATAACCTGCTTGCTGCAGTGCGGCCTGCCGTGCAATCCAAGAGCCGAAGCCAAGCAAAACCAGCACTTTCCACAAGCGTTGGAGAAATCACGGCGTTTCTTTGGCTGCCTCCACATCTGCCTCATCATGGAGGTATGCACCTGCATGAACGACGCAAAGGATCTAAGGTTGTATAGAGGAGAGACACAGCAACTGCTTCTGTCAGTCGCTCGCTGGCAAAGGCAGATCTGAACTTCTGCCAAGCTGCGGGTCGTTTTGGACTTGCCAGGGAAAAGCTCACCGATTCGCTTGAGCAGTTTGTAGTACCTGCGGTTTCCCCATTTTCAATGTGCTCTCTGCTTGGCCTTTGCTTTTGGCCTGGCTTCGGTGCATGGGTGCGAGGTACTGGTACTTGCAGGAACACATCCCCTACAAGTAGCAAGAGGAGTTACTACTCGCTACTCGCTACTCGCCGCTTCAAGGTTCCCCGTCTTGCTGCTGCGGTGGCCGATGCAAAGCACTGCTAGACGCGGCCTCCCTTTTCCATCGGAACAGATGACACAAGCGACTCGACACTGCTGGGTATCTTCAAGGCAGACGCTGAGAATGAAAACACACATCGAGACAAACACCATCCTCTAAACCCTAAACCCTAAACCCAACCCCAAACCCCATGAAGCAGCGGAGGAAAAACGACTCCAGCGAAAGCCGAGGATCCGACCAGGTCTTGGGCGCAAACGACAAGATCAGTCTCTCCTTGCTGAGCCTCAGAGCATCGGTGCTGTCAGCTACTGCAACAGTCATTTAACAAACTCGTGACAACCCACACTGGATAAAAAAGTGGGATTTGCTCCATGCCGTGGTGAAACAATATGATTGCAAGCGGCGTATTATCAACAACTGCATGCCCCGTCTGATTTACGCGTCGGCCGCCGGGTTTCTGTATCTGGCCGAAAACTCGATTTGTCCGAACACACACACACACTCTCACTCAGTTCCCCGGGCGCACCCTGCCAAATGTTGCACCATCCCAGACATCTTGTCTGGCGGGTAGTGGATGAGTACCTGTCAAGAGAGAGGGAGAGAGAGAGGGCTTTATCAATTTGCATCTAGTTTCTTTTACTATATATATACAGTTGTAGATATTCGGACTATTTACAATATGTTATATATATATATATGCCATATCTATAGGCTGTGTATCATCTGTTGTATGTGTGCACATTATATATTAGGTTGTTAGATGCTATAAGCCACATCTTATATATTATGTAGTGTACATTATATACTATACATTGTACCTGAAACAAAGCATGCTACACGTTGTACATACATGTTAATTTGTTGCATTCTTTACTATACATAGTTGGCGAACTATAAACACCCATTTTCAACCTGCTATATATTGTATGCTATATACTACAGTATAATTCATTTCATGCGTTTATACTACGTAGTCTTCTATGTAGTAGCTTCTAGATCATATTACACAGACTGACTGTATTACATGCTGTAGTGCTGATACCACGTATGAACTGTATACTGTTTACAGCACAACATCTACTATGTATATATATATATACATACACATGTATATATATATACACACATACATACGTATGTATATACATACATATATATATATATATATGTGTACTGTTTTAGATTTTACATAATATGTACGACAGATATACAGATATGTAGGTGCATATGCACATATATACACATATGTACAAAACATATAGCTACTATTTTGTTTTGTATACATGATGCACCTTCTGTTCTTCTGCAGTAAGTAGACCGCTGGTAAGGAATGGCCCTCCGAGACATGGCGCACATCCACGCAGCACACCGTGTCGTACGAACCAGAGATCGCCTGCGGTGAGTACTCAGTAGTTGTCCGACAGACCCAGGTAAAGCAGCCGCACTCTGCTGTCGATCCATGTCTAGGACTTCACTGGTCTTTGTGTGCAGAGTATTGCACCTCCAGGTCAGAAGTTGAGAACCTGGCATCACATGCAGCCAACCGCAAGCAAGCTGGTTGCATGCTTTTTTGTAGTTGAGCTTGCAAAGCTTCTACTGACACAGGGTCAAAGGCAGCCACATGAACAGCATGAAACCGTGGCGACAACCGGGTTACAAGTAGCTACAAGATGGGCAAAACCACATGTTTCACGGCGCCTACCAGTACCACAAGAACTGTTCCAAAATCCACCAGTGCTGCTATGAGTCTCTGCACTTTCTCCGAGGACTGAGCTTTGGCAGCTTCTCTGCCGGTAGCGATTCTTTGGCTCGAACTTCGGCCTGCCAGGGTGCTTGAGCAACACGGCGCGAAGTCCCAGCACACGTGGATGTTTCGGAAACTTCGGGTGCTTCCTCTTGGTGTGGATGCCTCGCCAACCATAGCAGAACTAATGTCGCTGCCGTTGACCTGGGCTGTGGGCCGTCTTGCGGATGCATGGACACTGAAAGCAATCACAGCCACATGCATCGCAGGGCCGTACTGGGTAGGCCGGGGGCGCAGGATTGGCACACATTCCACGCGCTGCCTACGCGGTGGTCAACACGCCTCGTACTTGCATAGTATGACGACTGCGGTTTGGGGATTGCAGCCAAACTCGTCACATTATGATGTCAAGCTTATAACGGGCACTTCAAAGGTTTGGAGAATGACTAAGATGCCTAGTAACCATTCTAGACTTTGAGACTGGAACCTACGAGTACCGAGAAGAGAAGGCCTGAGGTACACGCCATGGCCCCGCGGCTGGCCAGCGGAATAGAGAGGCTGCCCGTCCCGCACCTCATTTCTGGGCTCTGGTTTTAAGGGAGTTAGCTTAAGGGATCTATAGTAAATTCTGGGCTCTGGTTCTAAGAGAGTTAGTATAAGGTACCAGAACAGGGATCTATAATAAATATCCTCTGGGCTCTGGTTTTAAGGGAGTTGGTATAAGTTACCAGAACAGGGATCTATAGTAAATATCCCTTAACTAGAGCCCAGTCATCTATCCGAGGCCTGACTGCTGTGCCTACTGTAACGCCGTAAGCGCGACTTTTCGACTATGCCTATAAGAATCGACACTACGGTTGATGGACAAAATCCTGCATGACCTTATATACCTGGGGATTTATGGTTCTATACTATATCTGGGCCATGCAGAATTTTGTCCATCAACCGTATCAGACACACGCACGGACTGGACTCGGAGACAAACCACTCCATGTTGTGAGGGAGTCAACTGGGTGCTGCCCGTTTAAGCCTTCAGCCCGTGCCTGTATCCCAATGAACACCACTGAGAACCACGCCCTGCATCGCAGACAGTTTTGCCGGAGATCGTGTTTGGGTCCTGTTCGGCCAATGGATAGTAATTGACGCCATGCCATTCGAGAACGCAAGACATCGGCCTGCCCCACTCAATTGCTCATGGCCTCAACGATATTCGTCCAGTCAGTATAGACCGCTGTGGATACACACATCTGTTATACATAAATACACACATACACACACACACCCACACATGTATGTGGTATAGGTGCAAGTACACACACACACTGTGTCAAGCAATGCACGCTCTTTATTGCTGCTACATGAAGTGCTAGTATGTTCTGACAGGACTGTGCAGGTGCTTCCATATGTCATCATGAGCTACTCTGCGCTGATCATCAATAGACGGCACTGCTAAGCTTTCAAGAAACTTCAAAATAAGTTCGCCCTGCACAGTAGCGCTTTTTCTTTCAGACTGCTGCATGACTGTGTTTGCATATACATGCGGTACACGTACACCTCAGTTCGAGACAGTATCAACAGGCGCTACATTTACTACATGCCCATGCCCGCTCCTGCTCTTCTCCTTCCTTGCTTTTCTCTCGTCCAGTTACTGGTCGATCGTCGTGCCCCACACGGTTATGTCTATACTGTTGCTGCCAACACCTGAATCGTAGCACCCCAGCCAAGAAAGCCCTAAGGCCGCTCCAGCCAGCCCAAGATCTTGTCGACAGTCTGCGCATGGCCCACCCGGATGTCCTCAGGCAATTTCGCTTCAGATCAGATTGCATCGGCTGTTGGGGCCTGTGGGTATCTCATCACATGCATGTGTTTATGCATGTATGTACGTACAGATGCTTGAAAAGTGCCATCATCTATTGGGTACTTTATTCTGTCTGCAAATTGCGATGCTGAAAACATACGATATGTAACTAATATGTCACATATAGGAGTCAGCCACAGCGCTGCGCAAGAAATCCTTCGTTGGAATTACGCAAAACTTTCCTTCAATCAATGTAAGGGTCAAGCCTTCCAGAAGTCTTCCCAAGACTCAAAGAAGCCAGGTGGGCATCCCCGAGCAGGTTTTGGGGCACTCCTCCAATTATGATCTCGGCATAGCCCCAAGAAGGCTAGACAAACTTGATCCAAAACCAGGGTACCATGTTCGAAAACATAAATCGTCTTGCCAATGTCGGTCAGATCAATAACTGCAAATATGCCATGCACCGACACACAGAGACACACACAGTGTGCGTCTTAATATATATGTATATACTCTGTATATATATATATACAATATATATATATATATGTACACATATATGTATGTACGTATATATATATATATATATGCACACACATATAGAGCGTATGTGTATACATAGAGTATATCAGTTTAGGACTGCCAAGCTGCTTTCTGCACCGGGTTTACATCGTCGGTTTCTCCGTAGATCTTCTGCCATCTCTCGAAGCCTTCATGCGCACAGCATCGGCGTAAGGAGGTGGTATGCGACTGCCATTGGCATTCTTCCTAATTATTATCATTATTACTACTATCATCAATACTATTATTATTATGGTCATCTGCTTCTGGCTTCATCGACCTTTCGGGACTGCTGCACTGCACCACAAGTACCATTTCGCAGCCAGTTCTCGCTTCAATTTCACGGTGACCACATGATCGCTTCAGTGCTTAACGTTGCGGCCGATCCTGTGGTGTTGAAGTACTCCTCAACAACCTCAGCAGAGCATCGCGTCCACAGGAGCCAGACTGTCGCGAAACCACGCACGCACTGATGATGAAGGCTTTGCCGAAACTTGCTGCACTTAAGATGCTTGATGAAGATGCTTCATGATGCATCTGCGACCCAAGAAAGCGGACCTTCTTGTCATCCACGTCATCGTAAGTCTCGCCGCCAAGCCTTGTGGGTCTGCTGATAGTTCTTGCGTCTCATACTCTTTGTTGCATATGCCGCGCAGCAACAAAGAGACGCTAGTACCAAACGACCGGATTGTGGCACGTGTTGCTGTCACTTACAACATCGTCCTTGCCCTATGGCGGATAGTCCGCTTTCCGCAGCAATCAAATTCTGTTGAACATGGCTGATTTAGCAACACTGCCAAAATAGTTCCAAAATAAGAACTTTGGGCTTTGCTGCATGCAAGACCTCCAGCAGAAGCTGCCACAATCAAAACAACTGTGGAGTTCTTATGAAGAGACGGCTTGACTGTGAGCGAGGTTTGAGGCTGAGGGATGAGGGGTTGGGGATTTGGTGCTGGCAGCAGTAGAACAAAGGCTGCTGAGGCCTGCTGGGACCACCCTTTTTCAACCACATCGCGACCGTAAAGGTATCCTAAGCCCATGAGTTTGAAAGGTCGTGCAACTCGGAAATCTCTGGGACCTGCAACTACATGCCGCTCTCTTTCTAGGAGCCGCACGCAAGAGCAGCGACTCCGGCCAGGGCAACCAGCAGGCCACCAATGAAGAAAGGCAACTGAGAGGTTTCAGCCTCGCCGGCTGCCTGCGTGGGTCGTTCTTTCATTCATGGTCGCCGCAGTTGTTTGACCTTGCCTTTGATACTGATCATAATCTCCTCAACACTGGGAAGATCATCCGCCAAGGAGACACGACATTGACATGGACCCCTCGAGTCAACATGGAAGCCAAGGTGTGAGCTAGGGTCTGCCTTGCCGCGCAACTATGACTACCAGATGACCAGCCTGAATGTCTAAACTTTCGCAGACTGTTTCAGCGCCAGTCAAGACACAGAATCTCTTGTGATCAGACCTCGGTATCTAATGATCTCGACAAGTTGCAGCTTTTTCCCTCCACAATTTTGCGATGCTGCACTCTGGATGTCGTCCGTGATTGCGGGACTGCTGCATTGCCAGCGAGTGCTGGCTGACCGTGCTGCTTTGCAACCTTGCTCCTAGGGTCCACATATAATGATCCCAGCACCTGCTTGACTGTCTTCTGGAAGTAACAAGGCTGCAGCCAGCTACAGTGCGACCGCAGTGGCCAACAAGCAATGCAGGCATGCAGGGGAGGGTACAGCCTGCAAATCGGACTCTGCGATGGCCTAGGACAGCCTCATCGCTAAGAAGCTCCACGACTTGGCCGCCAGATGCCGAAACCACTCGAAGATTTCGTAGATGTTGACCATGTTAGCTCGTAGAAGACCTGCAGGACTCTCGTAACGCAAAACAGAAACGGATGTTGACGATGGGATTGCGCATTCACAAAAACGACAAGCGACGTGGGAAGGAGGCATCTGATCCAACCTCGACAGTCATCCGGCTTGTGCTTGGCATCTTCTGCTCCGGTCATGACTTCTCACGATGGTTCCCGTTCCTGGCAGCAAATGACACAAAGCAGCTCAGCAAAAAGTACAAGTAGCAGCAGCCGCCCGAGCAACGACAGAATGTGAAAGAAGCCTCATCCCGACATCACTTTTCGACGTCGTTTTGGCGGCTTGCCGTTGAACAAGCTGCCCAGGACACCCGCGAAGGCCTCTAGCTAGCACCACAGCTTTCAGGAACGATTGAATGAGTTGGAATGGCCACGCTCTACACCATCTTGTGCGCAGCCTGGTGTGTCCCCTGGTCTACAGCGCTGTGCCGCTTCCGGGGAGAAGCTGAATTATAGATGTCGTCGGGCTTAGTCGCTGAATCCGGCAAGCAGGCTTTGCTGCTTCCAGAGATTTGCGAGGGTGGTTGGACTGCCGAAGGTCGTCTTGAACACCTGACGCAACTCGTGATACTGAGGGCACTACGCCCGCAAAAGCTGCCAGCGAAGTCAGCAAAACCTGGTTTATGTAGCCAGGACGATTTGCCACCGCTTTTGCAGCTACCTCTGCTGCCTCCTAGACTTAGATATGTGTAGCTCAAGCTTTGGCAGAAACACGGACTTCTCTGGCACTGGGGTGTTGGCCCATTCCAGGTGCTGCTCGCTCCATCCGTTCACCTGACCAGCACTCGAAAGCAAACTTCCTACTGGTGCAGATTGCACAGACTCTCATCTGCTACGCGTATGAACCTCGGTGTATACCAAGCCTACAGTTCAGTCTCTGTGGCTCAGCATGTATGCGGCATCCTGCGGCGTCTGCCTGACGCGCACCGCGCAGGGCGGCAGGGCTTGGATTTGCAAGCCTAGCATCTTCAGCAGAAGTTGAGCGCTGAAAAGGCATCCTAGGGCGATCTGCCCCCTCCCCACTGTTCTGTAGCTGCTGGTTCGTTGCTGCTGGCTCCACCTAGCCAAGCTATAACGACGTGCTTCGAACCAAGCTATGTTGCTGAAAAGCCACCCGCCAGGCCGTAGGGGGGCACGAGCCTCGGCGGCTTGCAGGGTAGAGTCCATCAGATTTCAGCGGACGATGGGCATTCAGCTCCGGGCAACTTTGGCAACTGCCTTCCCTTGTTTCGCCTGGCCAGACACACAGTCTGCCTTTGAACATCGGCATCGACATGGGACCTTGAGACAACATAGTACCCGAACATAGACCCTTCTGTTCTAAAGGACCCCTGATGCAAAGAATCAGCCCCCCCCACTGCACCAACATGCCCCAAGAATAAGCAAGTACCAAGACTAACCGCATTGACATGACAATTAATCACGGCATTGGAAGAAAGACGCGACGGAGACATAGCTGGATCGATAGCCTAACCACCCAAATCGGCGAAAGGCTTCAAACAAACGAACCGGATCAGCCTTCGTGGTTCGTACCTGGATGCCACGCAGCACCAGCGGATGCTGCTGGGCCTAGGGCACCAAATTCCGCTGCTGCTGCTCCATACTGACAGTAAAGAAATGCGATGCTTATCACTACGACAGAGAAGAATTCATTCACATTGTGACGCGTAGCAACAGTCATCATGGCGATTTGAATACCCCTGATGTTGCTGTAGCCTGATGTTGCTGTACCACAGCACCTCCCAGTTGAGGGAACCCTGAAGTAAGGAGTAGTCTAGTTTCGATCCCCCTCCGCGGAAAGCTTGGATCTGCTTGGCGTCTGTGCCATCTGAGCACCGTGCACGAGTGACTTGGATGCGAATGCACCGTACCTCAGCCCAGATCTCTGTTCCCGCGAATCGCCCAAACCTTGTGTAACATGCCGGCCTAGCCAGACAGCATCAGCATGAACAAGCGCCTCTGATCCCCGAATTTTCGACTTCTTATGACGGACTCGGGATGAAGAAACCATGGTCCTGGGGTTCCCACATCCCTCACCGGTGTGCTGAAGCTGCTGCGCCAGAATACCTCCCAGACGGATGTGCGCTGGTTCTGCTGTCATTACTTACTCTTGCAAATACTACAGTTGCTTTTGTGATTCTCGCTTGTCTAGCTTCCGGTATAGCTCTGCAGTTGCCACACTTCCTGCTGCGATTCTCTTCTGTGGGAAGGGTTGAAAAACACTCTTGGGATGTGTTACAGCGCTATTTTCCTCTGCCCTGGACCTGAAGACACCGTTGCTTTCAATCTTCTGGCAAACCAAAACTCGATTCCTACCTAGAAGCAGCTTGGCCCGTGAAAACGAGGCCTCCCGCCCAGCCAAGGCTGTGATTTTTGTGTATCTGCTGCAGGACAACATGGCCTTGGGTCCGAGACAAGTTTAAGAAGAGGCGAGGTACCTCAATGAATTGCACAATATTGCATGATCTAGGGGTAGTGAGGAGATCATTGTAGACCTAGCATACACTATCACCTGACCCCCCTCATTATCCGGTTCACTGGATGACACATGCTCGAAGATGTTGCACGTGGCAGAGTCGACACAAAAAAGAAACAACGCTTCACTCTCAGCAAGCAGCACTGGGGTCGCTCCGCCCGTACCCGAAGAGCCTTAGGACATTTTTTCGGGCACTGCTGAGGCTGTCATAAGCACTAAACATATTATAGGGGGGAAAAATATTTTTTCCCCTATGATATGTTTAGTGCTTACGCCAGATTAGCAAGGAAGTGTGATTTCAGGGACTGGCCGGTAGTTGAGTATCGGAACCATGCTGAGATCATGACATCTCCGCATCATCCAACGAATGGTCAAAGTCGTCGTCAGGAACCTCCGCCTTCAGTATGCAACTTGGCACCCCAATGCGACTTCCCCTCAACTGAACCGTGATCTTGAGCTTTACGAGGAATGTACAAGGCTCCAGCCCCTTTGTTGCTGCACTTCTCGCAGGCAGGCCTGACCTCGTCTTTGAAGAGAGAAAAAAAGGACTGAGGGGATTGTGCATCGGTTTCCCCGGCGTATCTAGTTGAACATCTGCTGGTTTGCTTTGATGGCGTGAGTGGCAAAAGCATGCAGATAAATGTCGCGCAAAACTGAAGTGGGGTCTTGGCATAGCCACCCATTCGAAGGTTGACGGCCTCGACCTGGGCCAATTGAATTCTGTGACAATTCTGCTGCACTGGGAGGCACTATCGTCAACGATACTAATAATCTTTAAAGGTATCCCAGCCTGGTTCTTATGGCTATGATGACGACCACGCCGACAGCCACGACAATGACGATGACGAGACCACTCTTATGTGTAGTAGTAGTCGTCGTCGTCGTCGTCGTAGTAGTAGTAGTAGTGGTAGTCGTTGTCGTAGTCGTAGTAGTCGTAGTCGTAGTCGTCGTCGTCGTCGTCGTCGTCGTCGTCGTCGTAGTAGTAGTAGTAGTAGCGGTAGTAGTGAGTGGTAGTAGTGGTATGGTAGTAGCGGTAAGTGGTCGTGGCATGTGGTAGTGGTAGTGGTAGCGGTGGTGGTAGCAACAGTAGTAGTCATAATACTAGCAGCAGCAGCAGCAGCAGCAGCAGCAGCAGCAGCAGCAGTATCCGTGGTAGCAATAGCAATAATAGCATACTATTACCCCAGTACTGGTACATCCTCGAAGTTGTTTTTTGCTCTTGCATGTGAGGCTCGACCTTGAGTGTTGCCTCAGTTCAGTTTGGCACTGTCAGTAGTTGTCAGCACTTGTGTGAACAGCCCGTGCTGGGAAGCCGGCATCATGGGCTTGTTTGAAGGTCAACTCCACCCAGGAGCCCTGCAGCGTCTTGAAGTTGAGTATACGATTGGCAGAGTAAGATGATGTGCTACCTGTGTCCTTGCAAGCAGTGATCGAGCTTTCGGGTAGATATGGTAGGTGCTCTCTGTTACCTCTCACTGGGCAATCTTCTGGTCGCACGTATGCGGACATTTGCGAGTGATTCTTGTATGGAGGTGGAGGGAAAACAGGCATGAACTATTCAAACGCAGCACCTAGCACGTTTTGTAGCTTGACAAGCCGTTGCCTCCAGTGCCGGTGCAGTGACATCTGAGGTCTTGTAGATGGCTTTGCACTGGCCGTTAGCCTGTCATGCTCCGGACATCTCAAAACCTGGTGAAGCTCGACCCTTCGAGTAATGGCACACTTCATCATGTTAGATGCCAGGAGCAGCAGACTGCCATAATGCATTCTTCCCGTCGCGGGCATCTCCCAACACCGTGTCAAGAGTGGACAACTGGCGCCGGGTGCTCCCATCCGCAATCAACATTGCACCAGCTTGAACCATGTCCTGTAACATGCGATGAAGTGTGAACAGCACATCTCCATGCTCATGGACAAATACTCTGATTAGTCATGGTATCTACTCCAATGAGCTTGACAGCCAGCTCGAACAAGCACTCATTGGAAGGCACCTTTGGGGCAATCGCGGCAATGCCTTGCTTCATGCCCACCACAGGTGACCTCCAACAGTGACAACAGCAAATACCCCGTGCTGGAGCAGGAGAGAAGAGGGACGACAAACCAAGTCAGCAACAGTTTCATTGCTGGGGATCCCCTCTGTTCATGACCTTCTCTCGCAGCCTCTTCAGACCCTTCATGTGCCGAAGATTTGCCAGCCTTCTCACGGAGGTCAGAGTCGTCGTAGAGAGATTGCAAGAGATCTGCCCGGCCCCTTATCAGGAAACACCGAACCCATGGAATGACAGATCTGGCCAGGCAGCCATGCTCAGACGGTGATACAGATCATGTATGTTCGTATGCAACACAAAAGAAGCACTAGAGCCACCAGAGCGATCTGAGCAGTTCGACCAACTGTTGATGGACAAAATTCTGCATGACCCAAATATAGTATAGTACCATAAATCCCATAGTTTAGGTATATAAGGTCATGCAGGATTTTGTCCATCAACCGAATGATTCTCGACCGCCTATCTGCCAGGACGTGGCGGTAAAGTCCGAGAACGCAGCTCCATGTTGCTGGTGAGCTCTGCCGGGGGGTTGTCGAACAACGAGTCCAGGAGCGGGTTCTTCTTGAACCATACCTGAAAGTGTTTGACACCGCGGTGCCACCAACCGGACCAACCGTACAAAGCAAGAACCACGCCAGAGGATCTCCTGCAACACTTCGGGATTCGGGATCAAGATGCCGTCTTCTTTCCAAAAGAAGTTCAGCAAAGCTGCTTCCGTGGCTCGTTGGACCTTTCCCTGCAAGGACGAAACATCCCCGAGATGCTCCAGAATTGCCTGGAGACAGAGTCCGTTTGCAATTGTGTCCTTGCTCCGGAACTGTTCATGCGCCGCTAAGGGCGGCCCACCTCTTTGTCCTTGGCGTGTAGTATTCTGATGTCTGATCGCTCGCCTTTGACACCACCTGCCAAAATGCAGAAGCTGCATGCTGGTGCACTTCATGGATGCTGGAGCATGCTTCCCGACATGTTTTCAAAGGCACGGAAGGGAGCAAGGAGGGTTGCTTGCCATCTTTGCAGGCGCCAGCAATGTTTAAGGAACATGCTATCCCGCCCCCATTCCACGCCAGAGAATGGAGCCCGTGCGAGCCTAATGCGAGAGCCTTGGGCACTGTCTGATTGCCAACAACATCAACGAAGTCCCAGTACAACGCGTCTGCGGGTGTTTGAGGAAACATCACCAGCATCTCCTTATTGGGAAGCAGAACATGTATGACTGCATTCGAAGGGGGAAGTATCACCTCACTGGGGAAAGCCTCGAACCCTTAAGGTCCCTTCAACTCGCTGCACATGTAGTAGGACGAGGTGTCCAGTGTCCGTGGCTACCGGCTACTTCCATTGAATATCTGAGTGCAGTGACCCTTCTTCGAAGTACCCTTCAAAGGACTTTAAGTACCGTGTAAGCCAAGCGTCCATCCACCGGTGCAAGATCTTGGAGCGGATGAGCTTCCGATGATGCCCGAGTTTACTGAAATGGATGCAGAGCCAGGGGACCTTCTGTGAAGTGAGGAGGTTGACGTGCCTCTGAATTAGCATTGGGTAATCCTGGGCCAGAGGACTTCCCCACTCCACGGACATGAAAGTCTCAGCCAGCGGCCGAAGGAATTGGATCAAAAGCGCCAGGTTGATGTTGTGAGGGTGGCGGGAAGGCTCTGGGAATAAGTCCGGTGAAGGATCCAATAGATGCACCAGCGTTTGCTTGTCCGGGCTGAGCTTTCGCAGCACGGCCCCGATGCCTTGGGTTCCGACGGCTTCGCGGTTCTGCTTCGGTCCTGTCCTACCCTATGGCCCTACAGAACAAGAGCTGCCGGCCTATGAGTCGACAGCGATCCTACCTGTGCCGGCTTCAGGCCGTCTTCGAAGTAGGCAAGATCTAATGGGCATGTGCAACTGGTTTGAGTCGGTGTCGTCCTCATGATGGAAAGAGCGACAAGTACCGAGGCGAAAAACGAACGGTCTGCCGAAGCCTCTTTCTCCCGGAGGCGACGTCCACATCACAACGAGAACTCGACAGCTCCAACACAATCTAAACGTACGCTCCACCACGAGCACACAAAACGGCTGTTCCCTTACACATGCCGCACGCACTCCGAATCAATCAGGGAACACGTCAGCATTTGGCACAAGTCAGCGCTTGGTTCAGTCGGGATCGAATCTGCTGAATCCTTCGCTTCTGTTATGACTGAATCCTTGCGTGAACTGTTGCCTTTGGTCGGGAGTTTACGAGCTTGAATCAGCGGGAGGCGACCAAAACCACAGTTAGTCTGTGAATGCATATATAACTAACTAACAAAATAAACAAATAGATAAGTACATATATATATATATTATATAAATCATATGTACATGTATATCTAGCTAACTAACTTACTTACTTCCTTCCTTCCTTGCTTGCTTGTTTGCTCGCTTGCTTATACACTGATGCAGGATGTAGGACCCCGCCTCTTTTAGGGGAATGGGTTTCATTTGATGTCGCTGCAGTGACAGCATTCGGAGATGCAGGACCTGAAACAGCAGGGCTAGACGCCACAGCTCCTAGGATTCTTGAAGCTGTGGGCGGTCTTCGACTATCGTATAATATAGTACAGTATGGTATAGTATACTATAGTGTACTGCCCTAACTAGCCCCCTTCCCCCATCAGGTCAGGACACTTTCAAGCAAGCTCTGGCGCTGCGCGCGCTGCGCAGGGGAGCCGTGGGCCACGAGGAGCCCAATCACAGCCCTGTCGCCAGCGTTGAGCAACCCGTCGAGGATGCTCTCGGCGAGCTCGAGGGTCGGATCCAGGATAAATCCAACAGAAACGAGGGCTCTTGAACGTTGGACCTGCTTGGGGTCCCGGGGATCTGGACCAGGGCCAAGATGCACCAACTTCTGCGGACTGATGCTCAAAATCCCAGAGCCCATAGAGCGCCAATCGAGAGCCAGCGCTTCTTTGCGAGGTTCTCCCGACTTGCAGACGGGCTGAAACTGCAGACGCCTCGAGGGAACAGGCCGAAGCATGCTGAAAGCTTGAGGGACCGCCACCGGTGGTTTGGAAGATTCGGTAGGAGTCACGAAGAAGTAGATGAGAATGTCAAGTGCGACCAGGTAGTACAGAGTCCACCAACTAAGCAGCCCGGAAGCTGCTGTCACATCGCGACACGCACACTGGCAGGCCCAAACAGCAAGCCAGGCAAGGCCGCCTGCAGAAAAACCAACAAGGGCTGCCAACAAAGCATGCTGCAGCGAGTACTGTACATCTGCCTTCTTTTGTGGAGGCTCCTCGTTTTGCAGAGCTGTCGGAGTGGAAGTCTGCTGAACGTCGAGACTCTGCAAGACGATCTCCCGGATGGAAACCCACTCGGATTGACTTTCACGCAGACCGATGTCCAAGCATGTTACCGCCTCCAGCTTGCCTTCCCAGACCTCCTCCGGCTTGGAGATCTCTGTGAGTCTGCTGGGGTCGCTGCAGTCGCTCCTATGAGAAACTCGTAGTTCTCCCTTTCGGATGAAGTCTGCCTCGTGGCCCTTGCGGCCTTGACGAAGGATAACCTGGGCTCGCTTTGCGGAGAAGGCGTCGTTCAGCCTGAGTCCTTGCATCAGAGCACCCGAAGATTGCTTAGTAGTCGAGACAAGGCAACCTCTCGGAATTGACATAGCTCGCCCTCAGCCACCTTACTGTTTTGACTGCCAGGGGGCTGAAGTACTTCTGGCTTGCACAGGACAAGTCATCCTTTTCCTTCTCTGAGCAGGTGTCCGCCGACCAGAATCCCAGTGGGTCGCCCGGTGGGTAGGCAGCTTGAGGAGTGTAGTGCTGACAGGGGCAGAATTTGGGTCAGTTCTTGGGATGAGCGGGTCTTAAAGCCTATGCTCCGAGAGTCTCTATGATGCGACAAGTGGTCGGATTGTTCTTGGGGCATAGGAGCCTGGTACGTCTTCATGGTGCTTTCGACCGTTGCCCTGGGGTATCCTCGGTTTGCAGATTCTCGCAGCCGCTGCTAGTACTACTACCACTACTCCGACTGTGCCTCCACCTCCTCCTCCTCCTCCTACTACTATTGTTGCTACTACTACTACTACTACTACTACTACTCCTACTGCTGCTACTACTACTACTACTACTACTACTACTAATGACATCTGGGATGGCTTGGGACCTTCGCAGCAAAGCAAATCATTGCTTAGCAATTCTCGCGGCCTTAGTCCCCTACGGCCTCTGCTCTTCGAACGCGCGCTTCCGTCTTCGGGCCAAGTGGCTTGAGCTGGAAACACCATTTGCGTCGATCTTGGGCTTTGATGCATTTTGAAACACCTCCGGACTCTGAGCAGTCGCTTGCAAAGCCAAGCCAAGCATCTTGGCACTAAGACCCATGTCGCGTTGTCTTGATTCTAAGTGCCTTCCAACTTGCAGCCCCGAAACGCGAAAAGAACATGACAGACCCGACAGAATATCTGTCTCGGGATACGTGTCGGATGGCCGGGGCTTCTTGCGCATAGCAGTGCGCAAAGCTAGCCTACATGAAGCACGTCAGACCTTGAAGTTATATGGGCTTCCTACTTTCGGGTCTGCTTGCTCAAGGGTCGTCGGGAAGGGAAAACGGCCATTTTTGCTTCAGTTGAAATCTGCAAAGATCCTGACGCTTTTCTACGAATCCGAATCACTGGTGTAAACAGGCTCCTCTCCGGAATCACCGGATGCCAGAGCGGACGCTGATCTATGAAAATACACACCGACAGAGATTCAGATGGTTTACAGTTGTGCTTTACAGTTTTACGTCGCTTGTTGGCTGACGAGACCGAGAAAATCCAAGTCGATTGCGGAGCAGCTAGGTGCCGTGACTTCGAAGAGAAGCCCTGGCAAGCGGCGAAGCGCGCCTCATCCAAAAGGAAGACCCGGGGCAAGGACTTGTCAAGGTAATACGTGGAGAGTTCGCTCCTCAGCTTCGGCAGCTTCTTGACAGCCTCAAGTCCCTTCTTGGCGGCTTCGGCCTGAAAACGAGTCAGAAGAAGTCGGGGGGCTGGATGGAAAGAGCTTTGGATGCTGTGAGGTTCTGCATTTTTTGCAGCGCATCATGTCATATCAGTCGGGCCTGCTTGTTGGCGTCCGTCTCCACGTCTTTGGGCAGATCGGCAGTTGCCTGACATGCTACCCTGAAGATCTCTAAAGCAGAGCTACATTGCCGCCTGCCGTGCCTCGTTGCATCAATGCAAAGTCCGTTCTGAAAACAAGCGTTTCACCACGAAGATGGCAGTTGATTGCTGAGGTATATACTTGAGCGATAACGGACAGCAGTAGCTTCAGCTGGTTCTCGTGACCAGAGCTGCCTGCTCTTGCCATCAGCAATATTTCTACGATTGACACGACTCTTGCCCATTGGGGTTAGTACCAAGACCCCGGGTGGATCTAGAAAGCAGAACCATGCAGAACCTGTATTTCGTACCCAATGCAACTAAAGTTTGCTTTAGAGCCTTGAGAGGACATCACCGAAGAAACCGCATAAGGAACCATACTTTCTACTTTCTACATCCTCCCGTCGTCGCGATTCCATTTTTAATAAGGTCGTGGTGGATATGATACTATAGTTTTCAAGAGACTACGAGGGGATACAACTATTCCGACCTCTGTCGTATCTGTTGCACCTAACTTTATTGGCTCGGGGTATGTGGAAGGGGTCTCTGGCAAGAGGGACTGTTTCATACCCTCTACGACGTCTCGCGACACCCTGGTGGTAGACTTGAAACTCCAGAAACTCTTGCAAGGAAGCCGGATGCTGATTTCGAGTGAAGCACATCCGAATCCGCACGCCGCTTCACTTATCGCGTGTGGTTCCCAGTTTGGGCTTTGCAAGCAACCTCGCAGTTTGACGTGGGCAAAGTTATGGCTAAACCCCATAGTATCCTTATGGAACCCAAAACCCTAAACCCCTAAACCCCCTAGTACCCTTTAAGGGAACCCAAAACCCTAAACCCCCTAGTACCCTTTAAGGGAACCCAAAACCCTAAACCCAAGCTGCAGGAGTAGAGCTCCAAACATCGATCCAGCACCAAACCAGCCAGTCGCAAGGGGCCTCCTCGCCTCAGAAACCAGATTGCAGTGGACTCTGCGACACCGAAAACGCACCGAAAACGAGCGTATTCAGTAAGAATCATATACAGCCCAAGAAATACTGCCACGGGCAGAGCCTTTGCAAGTTGCAGCCCCCTCCCCCCACCGGCGAAACGGAAAGGTCGAGCACACAAGCCAAGAGAACCTTGCCAAATCACCGTTTGCCACGGATAGTCAGCGTCGTTGATGCTGCTTTGACAAAGCCAAAGAGGTGAGCTTAGTCTTAAACTCGGCAATCGACGCAGGACCCACATGCATCCTAGTGAATCGGTTGCCGGTTGCGGACGTTGAAAGCACAGTCATGAGGGCATGGCTGGGTGTGAATCAGTGAGAGAAAACTACTACAACAACACACCGTATCTATTGCTGGTCACAGAAACCAACAACACGACGTGTTGACATCTACAACTCCGGAAATCTCTGAGTCCGACTATTGCTCGCCAGGTTGCTGAAGGTGAGCAAGAAGTTTGCCAAGCTCGGAAGGTGCGTGTTGTTGAACAACTTGCCAATGAAACCCAGGCCTGAAAAGGACGCCATAACCCAAGGGTTGCCAATCAAGGACCTTTCGAGGGCACTCCGCACGAATGCAGCAAAGCTTGGAACAGGATGGACATCATCTTCCAGTTGCATATAGTACTCCGACATGTTCGACGCGTACCACATCAGGAATGTATAGTCCAGATTCTGCTTCGTCCTCCACCACGTTCTCTTCGGGCTGTCACCAAACTTGAGCAGCACGCCCTTCTCATTCACGAAATCTGACAGCTTGACAGCGGTGGCCTTGATCCACTGATCATTCAACTTCTCCTCCCAACCTCGCACACTCTCGTCCTCCGCTCTGATTCGGGCGCACGGGATCCCAACTAAGTCTGTGCGATAAAGACTGCATCGCTTGGGTCACGATTCTGCATGCTTGGGCACTTCAAGTTCTCACAACCGAGTTCCGCTCCCAAACCATAGCCCACTTCACGGAAGGTGCCCTTCATGCTAGCACTATCTTAGATGTCAAGGATTTGTAGCCTCAGCCCCAAAGGAGGTCAATCGCACAGCTGTCTGAGCCCGAACAAAAACTCCACGAATAAAGACGGGTTCAGGGTTTCGGGTTCGTTTAAGAGTTTAGGGTTCGGGGCTTTGGGTTTGTTTATGAGCTTAGGGTTCAGGGGTTTGGGTTCGCTTATGAGTGAGTTCAGGGTTCAGGGGTGCGGGTTTCAAGGTGTTGGCCGGTGTCCAGAACTTCCAACTCCTCTGGTGCTCGAGCTTGAGCTTTGCAATCTCCTGACGGCCACAAACCATCCTAAACCATCCCACGCCCTTGCATATTATTACAGTCTGATCACTATAATCGCAATAAGAACAAGAACACTAGTGACAATGATGATAGCAAGAAAGGACAGTCAATGGGAGTGGTATATACACACAGCCGCATACGCACACGCATACCCCCTCACCTACACGAACGCATACACGTACACATACACAACTACACACACATGTAGATACAGACATACATATGTACGTATTTTTGATTGTATATGTTTATACATTAGAGTATCTGTATTCTCACCAGCCCGCAGTGCCAGGCCCTGTGTCAGCTTCTGACTATCGCTTCATGGGCTTGGCAAAACTGTAGCAAGCCTACTACTGTAGTTTTAAAGAAACAGGCATGACAACAAAGGGGTATGAGAAAAACACGGGTCTAATATTTACATCCGTATGTGAGCCGGCGCCAAAAACTATTTGTTTATGCCAGTTTCGTTTTCAGATTAGGGCGCCCCCTATCGTTTTACAGCGTTTGCAACTTGAAGCATACTGGAACAACCGATACACTGCTTTTGAGTAGGGAGATACGGTATAGAACATGCAGCATTCCAACGTGTGGCCTTGGGTTGCCCTCTTTGAGGCTTTTTAAAGTCCTTGGGGCTTTTGGGCTTTGAGCTTCTTCTGCTTCGCATTTCGAAAGGGCACGGCATCGTGCAATCATGAAGAACTGGTTTCTGAGAGCATGCGAAGCTTGTTGTGGTGCGGAGAGCTGGTTTGGGCCCGCGGTTTAAGCTATTAGGAATTCGCGAGTTTAAAAATGTCTGGACTGTTTGGAGTCTTCAGTCTTGGGGCTTTCGGGCCCAAGGAATAGTACTGGCATAGTACATGAACGGCCACGGGCCCATCTCGGCCACTCGGGGCTACATTTTGGGCATCGTTGGGTTATCGTTGTCCAATCTAGGGACGTCGTCTCATTTTCAAAACTTCCATCCCGACAACCTCGACACCTTTAAAAAACCTACACTCCCGACACCCTCTCTTGAAAGAAACCGGGAGCCAAAGGTTACAATAGCAACATTGCTGTGTTGAGGGTATCGTCTTTAGGGCGTCCCTTATCGCTTTACAGGACACCGCTAGCATTTGCCATCTTCGACAACCGCCTGCTTTAAAATCAATATACGAAAGTTTTGACCCCATCTCATGTAGTTTTGTAGCAGTGCATGCGGGCCTGTTGACTGAGCTGCCTCCACATCCTGCGACGCGACCAGGACCCAACGCCGATGAACAACGTCTAGGTTTGCTGGGATATTGCGGACGAAAATGTCTTCAATATGTCGTACCTTTAGATTCTCTGTTTTTGCGAAAAGCTAAAACCAGAGGCTAGTCGGCAGCCCAGGCTCTGGTTGTTTGAATACACCACACGAGGACGTACCTGCAGGCTGCACCACTCACCACCACGCAAAACAGCGTATGTTCGCCAGCTCGAACAAAAAGTTTAAGCAGAGAACAATGCTGACAAGGTGCATGCCACTGGCAGATCTGTAGGACACGCGATCAGTTGCGGCATCCGCTTGTCTAGTGTATCTTGCATTCAGTTCAGTCTGCTTAAACCCAGATAGTCGGAAAGCTTCCACATTGGCTTGTTTCAGTGGGTAGATATCCCGCGGCGCATGTATGACGTGCAAGTCGCCCTCCAAGACTTCGTTGGTGAATCCTTCATTCAGCTTGCTGGCAGTATTCAGCACCCATTCCTCGTCGAAGTCTGCCAAATGCACAATGATCGCAGTTGCGGCTTCTTCCAAATCCAGCACGTTGAACAGCCTGGACAAAGTGATCTCCAAATATGATGCCTCAGGGCACGCACGGAGACATCAAGATTCTTTGCGTGTGCTTGTTCTTCACGACAGCAGCAGTGGTAGTGGCAGTGGTCTTTGGCGCATGCCTTAACATTTCTGCAGTCATCTGCTGTCATCTGTGCTGCTGCAGCTGCGGTGCTTCCGCTGGAAATAGCACTACCACTACAGTACCACTGCTACATTAGTACTGCTGCTGCTACTGTTAGCAGTAGCCGGTAGTCTACTGCTAGTGCAACTGCTGCTACTGCTGCTGCTGCTGCTGCTGCTGCTACTACTACTACTACTGCTACTACTCCTACTTCTGCTCCTACTCCTACTGGTACTCCTACTGCTACTGCTACTGCTACTGCTGCTACTACTGCTACTGCGACTGCGACGCCGACGAGTACTACTACCAATCCTACCACTCGTACTGCTGCTGCCACTGCTACTGACTGCGACTGCCAGCACCAGCACCAGCACCAGC